AAAGAATATAGTTCTGTAGAACTTCCTACATTATTCCGTAATAAACAGTACTATTTCCTAATTTTTTCTTTATCTAATTAATTAATTAATAGGGAAATAGTTAATAATGCCTGAATTCATTTTTAATGAAATGTAAAATTTTGCATGTATGGGACGACCACCTTCCATCCAATATTTCTGAGAATATAAACAAATTTTGGAATCTGAGAGTATCAGTAAATAAATATATAGAATATCGCCTCTCAAACGACCACTTCTGAAAGTGACCAATAATTCTGAGATTATAAATAAATATTCATATTAAGCATTATTTCTATAAGACGACCATCTCTATATAAGACCAAAGTTTCTAGAATCTTGGATAGTCATCAGAGATGTATCTTTACTGCGAAATTATCGCACGACTGTAATTCAATATCAATAACAGATCGCGCGATTGAAAAACATTTTCTGTCCTGTAATTAGAGGAAAAAAATTTTCCTTATGAGGTATTTCTCCGCTTTCCTAGCGTGCCTTCGTGGTGTAACAGTTCTGCACGCTGGGCCGGTATTTCAGAGGTCCGTGGTTCGATTCACGGCGAAGGCGGTTGCTAATTTTTCATCTCTACGGCTTCCCAAAAAAATCCTAATATCTCTACAGTGGCGCCCGAACTAAAAAGGTGTTGGATGAGGTATATCCACACCCAGGATTAAAGTGATTGGATTCCCTTAAAAAAAGTCGGCCTTTAAAAAGAGAAGTAATATAAGGTATTTCTCCCGCTTTCCTAGCGTGTCTTCGGCCCACCAGCGGCCGAGCGGTAAAGTCGCTGAACCCTGGTAGTGCGATCCGAGGTACGAATCCCGCATACGGGCTGGCTGCATGGGTGTTTTCGTGGTTTTCCCCAAGTGTAACGTGTATACGAGCCAGTTTCCCTTAGAAAGTCCTCCACGAAGACATCCCTCCCCTTAGGCAGATAGCCCTAGTGTGCTTTGCCATAATTAAATACACCACCACCACACCTAGCGTGTCTTCGTGGTGTAGTGGTTCTGCACACTGGGCCGGTATTCCAGAAGTCCGTCCTTCGATTCCCGGCGAAGGCAGTTGCTAATTTTTCATGTTTCCTGCTTTCAAAAAAATACCTAATGTCTCTATAACCAAATTTAAAAAAAAATTCGTTCCGTAATTAAATATATCTATATCTAATTTTACCTATATTTGTAGTAGGGTTTGTAATCTGTAATTATACATGTAATTTATACATTTTTTATAAAAAAAAATATATGTTATTTAGAATTTTGCAAATATTCTAGAAAATGCTAATCCATTGAAAAAAAAATCTTTTCCATGACTAAATAAATTTTTAAAAACGTCAGAAAAAAAAAAAATAGTAGTTAAAATTAATAAAATAACAAGAATAAATCATCAATCATATCAATATTTTTAATGTACAGCATTTAGAAACAACTTAGTAAAATACATATGAAAAATAAAATAATGTGCAAGTTTCAGATGTGCAATGTCAAAAAATTAAAACTGGTAAATTTGAGAACAAATATCCTCAAAATGTTTGACAACGAAAGTCCTCCGGACAATGCAGAATGAATGTCCTCAGGATGTGAAATTGGTGAACTCCTCAGGACATCTGAGAATCAACATCTTCAGGACATCCTGTCATATCCCGGGACATAGCGACTTAAATAAGACATCCTCAGGATGTTAAATTACGATCTCCTCAGGACATCTGAGAATCAACATCCTTAGGACATCCTATGTATGTCCCGGGATATTGCGACTTAAATAGGACATCCTGAGGATGTTTTGTGCTATGGGGGAAATAATTTCTTTGTGCTCACTTTCAGTTTCTTCAAACAATACAGCAAACGCAGTGATTCAGAGCTTGCACTCGGATAGAGTTTGCTGTTTCAGTTATTATTTCAGTAACGTTATTCATCTGCATACTTTTGGTATCGTATTTACAAGAAATATATAATTAAAATGCATTCTCAGGCAGTATAAAATTGCTTCGCGGACCGCCTGTTTGAGACCACTGCTATAAGGAGCATCCCACAGAGCACAAGATTAGAACGGACAGTGTAGCCATGCTTGGTAAATGTCAGAACGGTAGTTGGTTTATCCGACTGCCAAAACTCTGAATAGGTTTAAAATCCTAATCTCACAATTAATGAGCTAGCAGCCAGTTGATTAATTGATGAGAAATCGCATTGCATATTTTGTTGCTACCTTTGGTAGATTCCCATAAGCAATGGATACGAGAGTTCTATGACAGACTTTCCCTCTGTGATTTATCTTGTGTTCCATGTATTAATAGAGATGATAAATCGCCAACCATTACAGTTAACTTCTTAATATCAACAAGAGCATAATAAGCGGTTTTAGTTAGTAAAACTTTTTTACAAGTTATAACTTTACTGGGAAAATTATTACTTCTTCAGTGTCAGAACATACCGTCTCACACTTCCTAATGGTTCAACTGTTAGGAACTGTCGTCTTTAGACTGAAATTTGTATGGCAAACAACGTGAATATTTTTATCTTCATGTGGACAGTTCCATAACCAAATATTTAAAATCTTGTTTAATTTGGAAACAGGAAAACAGCAATCTTATTTTGGCGTAGATTTTCAATAAAACTCTATTTAGATCCCTCTTCTTCAGAAACAAATATATTCTGACTTTGAAGGAGACGTCTTATATAAAAAGTTCCGAGAATTTATTTGCTCCTGAAGAACAGGAACCTAAGTCTGACCGCCCTCAAAATCGATAGTTTTATTTAAAATCTACGCGAAAATAAGGTTGTTGTTTCCTACTTCGAGTTTTACACTGGAGTGTTTTTCTTCCTATTTAGCCTCTAGAAGACGGAGGAGGCATCATTTGTAGTTGCCTATTATGGTCCCACCGTTAATAACTAAGTGAATAATAATAACTCACCGTAGTAAAGTGATTTGGGTCAGAAAAACAAAGCGAAATCTTTAAAAAGAACAGAAAACTTAATGTGGTTTAACTGTATCATAGCTACTTTTTTATTCGAGAAAGATGTTTATATATTTTATCACTTCCGAAGATAAATTTTCCCTCAAATGAATACCGCAGTAGTTTTCGCCATTTAAAAAAGAAAAAAAAAGTTAAATTGTTAGAATAAGTTAGGTTAATCGAGTACAGCAAAGCACGCAAAGACCATTACCTAATGGAGGATCCCTTTGAGAAGGACTCTCTAAGGTAAACTGATTCGTACACACGTTACACTTGGCGAAGCCACTGGAAACAACACTCACTCATTGTTGTGTTCTAGAGCACCTAACTACTAATTCTCTCAAAACTAACAATAAATTTTCAAGAACAAAGAAATTATATTTGTCCTACACTCCCGAAACTCCAAGGCAGTGTCAATAAAGCTCATCCTGTTAAGACTTCACTGGAACTGAAGGCTTCAATTCATTGTAGCTTAAATTATCTTTTAAAAATTCAAATTAATTTTCGAGTGCAAAATTGATTAAATTCCATTTTATTGATCTATTTCCCTCTTAGTAATCAACTAAGCAATTTCATGTAATTCGATTTGATCTTAGTCCGTTACTTTCTGGATCAGTTCTAACTTAGTATCCAAATCAAATCATATTTCATAGATTAAAGTTGGTAAATAGGCCATATTTAGGTCATAATAAACAAATATGAATCTAATTTTTTGTCAGGTAGGTTTTACAGTTAGTTATAGGAAATATATACCATTCAGTTAGTTATAGGAAAGCAGCGTCTCTGCAGTGAAGAATGTGGGACGATAATGATGCTGATTGCCTTTCATATAATTGGAGAACTAAGAAAGTTATTCTCTCTGTTTGTTTCAATTTGTATACGAAAATATAAACATTTCCTCTTTTTATGAGCTCTTGTATGTCTAAAAATCTCAGGTTTCGAAGTCTCCCGATTATTTGCATGTAGCTCTCAACAAACACCACAGAATATTTTTTGTTAATTATATCATTGCCATCATTTCTGGTGAAAAGAATTTGCAATAGACGTTATTTAATGTGATCGCGGTTAATGTTGTCATTCGGATAATGTTATCGAATTTCCGACTGTTTGTGTACGAAAACATCGAAAACTCACTTATTGTGATTAATAATTTGGTTAATATTATCAAAATACCGTAGAAAAAATTGTTTTACTGAAGTAAAGTCGCCAAATAAGATCGAAATGTATTATAAAAATTTCTCTAAGTGTCTGAAAGATGTCACCAAATAAGGGATTATATCGTCAAACAGCTTGTTTTCGATTCTAGTCAACTATTTAAAACTTGGCAGAAAAGCAATTTTAGATTGGCCTAGATTTTAAATAACTCTATCAGTTTTGAGGATTATCAGACACAGGTCTCTCTTCTTCGAGAGGGGAGGAGGAATGGCAGAATTAAAAAAAAAATTTTTCTGAAAACATCTACGCCAAACTAAGGTTGCTCTTTTGCATAATTTTAAGTTTTACATTTGCATCTTCTCTACTGGTGAATGAAGGATGCCTTCCGAATACTAAAATTACAGGCATAGCATAGATAAAATAATACCCAGAAAAGTTATGAATGTTATGTTAAATACATTATAAACAGTTCATAAACAAATTTTTGCATTTTCCTAAGTAAAATTCTGTCAAAGTACTTATTTGCACGGTTCTTGTTGTATTTATGTTAATTTAACATAAATACTTATGTTAAATGTTAATTTAACATAAATACAACAATAATAAGCAATACAACAACAATAATAAATTAATTTAACGTAATAAGTTCAATGATTTCCCACATGAATATTTCCATTAAATTAATTTCCCTTTTTTGAAACATCAATAATATTTCTATCAATTACTTGTTTTTCTTTTAGATAATTCTCCATGGAACATCAACATCGGAGGAGAGCAATTCAATGAACTTACCATATTTCCCATTACAGAAACGGATTTCAGCTTTAACTATTTCATTGCTGTGATAGAAAGTTTAAATCATAATGCAAAGAAAATGTTAAAAAGTTCCCCAAAGTACAAACAAAATAAGAAGCGATCCAAAATTACGCTATCTATCAAATTTAGTATAGAGCCCATTGATATCGGTAAGTTACTTTGTATACTTCGGAGTGGAAAAAAATGCTGTTATATGCCGATTTTCTAACAATGCCCGCTCGATATCTTTCAAATCGGCTTTACTAACTCAAAATGCGAGATGTATGCATTTATTCTAAATAGTCTATGAGATTAAAAAAATTTCGTTTCATCTGATATATTTCACTATTTGCTATTTTGTTATGATTCTCTTTCAACAGAGGTAGAAATTTCGTAGCAAGGTTTTATGCATTCATACAGCTTGGCGGCCAAATGTAAAGTCATGCCAACTGATAAAACATAAAGTTTATTCAAACTATTTGGTAATATTAAAATCACTGTTTTTGAGCCAAGTTCGATCATAAGAAACAAATTTTAATTTCCCTTCAGTTTCCTTGTATCGAGAGTCCTCTGTATCAACATTCCCTCTCTCTAGAAGATAAATGACTTTTGTATACTATAAGGGAAGAATATGTTCAAGGCAGAAATGGAGCCATATTGTTTGTTCTTTAGAAGAGTACGTCATGAAAATTTATTTGGCGGTTTTTTTTTCCGGTGGGGGGGGGATTGTTGTTGTTATTAACTGCTTCTAGATGATCCCCCGGCTATCTGGCTAGGACCTTCACCTAGACAGACTCGGCTTCTGGGAGTAAATATTAATCGCTCTTCATAGTGGCCAGAACCATCGTTTATTCTGCGACAGCTTCAGGCTCGGCAGGAACCATATACCCTTGGTTGTGAGGACGCTACATGGTTTGATATCGATGGTTGTTCTTGGGTGTTTGGCTCCCCTTGGTCAACATTGGGAGACGGTCAGTGACATACTGTGTTCTCTTTGTTGGTGGATGCGTTGCCGTCCACGATTGACTTGTATTATTTATCCCAGACTGCGTGAATAAAAATTGTTCCCGGAGGTTGACCGAGGGGTAATGCCTCCTTTGGTCGCCTCTAGAGACTGGGGAGTTTAATTGCAGCTTTTCCTATAAGCTGAGTCTGGGTATCCCTTCTCCCTAGTGCACCGCTTCTAGATGATATTAAAGTAAACGGAAATTCATAAATGCAAGCATTTTGTAAAGGAACTGCTGCACCTCTCGTTGGTGCTAATAGATGGCGACAGGAGCAGGTACTTAATCACTGGAAGCCACCGAGGTGTCTCGCACGTGATCCCTACAACCTTATGAAAAATATTCAATAGTGGAACAAAAGCAAGACTCCCAGCGATCCATATCTCTTCAGAGTAGACAAGCTACTAAACGCATAAGCCTACATAGTGATAGCGAGAGCGTACACTACTCGCTGACCTCACTTCGAGCACGTGTAACAGACAAATGACCTAGCGATGAACATTCTCGCTGTTCCTTCCTGATTCCCAACAGATAGCCTTCGATACACAAGTCTACCTGCGTCACCAAATTCCGCGCCTTGCTCTTTATATAGTCTGTCTCGTTTTCATTTGACTGCCCATTATACCGGGTGGCCATAATTAAACTGACAACGCTCACAGTGTTCTGTAGCGCGATCTATTTGCGAGAATGACGCCACATTTTGTAGGAAGATTAAACAAGACGGGGGACGAAGGATTCCGCGAGAAGACAAATTAGTTCCAAAAGTCACCACTAGGGGAATATTTGGCGCTGTGTAATAGAAAATAGAGTGTTAACAAATGCAAATCAATACGGAAATTACCTTTTATTTTGCATTCAAATGAGGTTCAATGTGGCTGCCGTTGTTGTGGACCACATATTACATTCTGTGCGCAGTATGCACAACAGCAGAAAGTAACATGTCTGCGGGAATCTCCCGTACAGTCCGTGATATGTTATTCTTCAATGTAGCCAGGTCCTGGACCACTCCTTGATAGACCTTGGACTTAAGGTAACCCCATAGCCAGAAGTCACATGGGGTAAGATCAGGCGACCGAGGTGGCCATACAGTTGGAAAGTAGCATCTAATGACTCTTTATGTTGTGAATTTCTGTCGTAGCATCTGTTGCACCCGTACAGCAACGTGTGGAGGGGCTCCATCTTGCATGAAAAGGATTCCCCCCAGGCATTGTCTTTGCTAAAGTGCCGGAATGACAAAGCTGTTCAACATGTGGCGATATTTCTCTCCGGTAATAGAACAGGTTTCCGGTCCTGTCGGGATAATGTTCTCATAAAAGAATGGACCTACGATAAATTCCGCTGTGAACCCACACCAAACAGTTACCTTTGGTGAATGTAAGGGAATTGCTGTGACTGCATGTGGTGATTTGTCAACCCAAATTCGGCAGTTCTGGGTATTCACAGTTCCATTCAGGTAAAAGTGGGCCTCGTCTCCCCATAAGATTTTCCACGGCCAAGCATCATCCACTTCCATTCTGGCAAGAAAGGTGAGAGCAAAAGTCAATCGCTTATCATGGTCGGGGTACAGTAACTCCTGTAAACGGCTGATCTTGTACGGATAGAAGTTGATAATCTTTCGTAAGATTTTCCATACCGTACTGTAAGGCATATCCATATTCCGAGCTACTCCACGAGCGCTAGAGGTGGCAGCAATATTGTCTGGTCCTCTGTTGACAATCGCCGTGGCAACTGCTTCGATTGTATCCTGTGGTACAGGTTTTCGTCCTCTGCCTGACTGAACCTTCAGAGAACCTGTTTTCTCAAACGTTTCAACCATTGCTTTTAGCCCATTAACTGACACAGGACCGTTACCTTTACGCAATTTTTTTTTCCCCTCGTTCTAAAAGCACGAAAAGCGACTGGTTGAGGTAAAAGAATTTGATCGGTAACGCACGCTCGGCTAAAGAAGGAGACATTGCACATAAACTTTCAATCCGATTGATTCGAAACATAACACATTGCCTTTTAAAACCCAAGCAGCTGGCACTGTGCGAATGGATGTAATGTGAAATTTGAATAAAGAACTTCTGCTCAGCGTACGTTATATTGCAGATCACGAGACTTTATCAGTGTTTATGTAGATTTTAAGCTTTTTTAAAAGTGTTGCCATATTGCACTTGAACTAAATCAGAAAATGTGCATAATAAAAGGTAATTTTATTCCGTATTAATTTTTATTTGTTAACACTCTATTTTCTATTACCCAGCGCCAAATATTCCCCTAGCGGTGACTTTAGAACTAATTTGTTTTTTCGCGGAATCCTTCGGCCCCCGTCTTGTTTAATCTTCCTACAAAATGTGGCGTCATTCTCGTAAATAGATCGCGCTACAGAACACTGTGAGCACTGTCAGTTTAATTATGGCCACCCGGTATTTATAATACAAACAAAATACCTTCATCAGACTTGAATTGATTTACCTGTTTTTATTATTTGCACTTAAAATTTCTTTATTGTGTATAATCAGTTGTTATATAGTTTAATCATTTGTTATATAATGTACCGTAACAACGTTTTTAAAAACCGCCTTCTAGATATGGGAGCATTATATTTAGGCGAAGGAATTGATATTAATCCCAGATCTTTTATGGAATTACCAAAAAAATCTGTGCACCTCGAATGGTTTCTGAAGGAAGGTGAAACTTTGATTTACAGCTTTCCAAGTTATATACAGAAAAGCGATGATGGAAATTCTATAATCATCAAAGAGCTGAGGAATTTGACAAACACGATTCTGACATGTGCTGTATATTCGAATAAAGATATTTTCTTGGCAAGAAGAAATTTTTTCTTTCGAAACATTGGTAAGTATAGTTTCTTCTAAAAATCGCTCCTTGAAAATTTCTCAAGAGAAGATTTCTTCCTTCTAGAGAATAACTTCCCGGAACATTTCCCAGGATACTTTTAGATGTTTGTAAGCGTCGTGCTTACTTATTTCTCCGTCGGCTATGAAAGTTGATGGAAATCCTGCTAAACTTTAGTCAACCATGCCGGTAGAAGTTCAGAAGAAGAGATCGATCTCTTATTTAGCTAAATAATCACAGATTACTTAATATTTAATTAAATAATAAATATATTTAAGCTTCTACTAGAAGTAGTCGGCAAACTCATTAGTCAAAAGAGCCAAAAGTCAGTAATACAACGATTAAGATTTCTTTCGAGAGCCAAATTTCTTTTCAAAAACCGTTTTGGGAGTCGGTTTAAACTAGCTCCTAACATTAAATAAAACCAGATATAATAATAATAATCTTATTTATTGACAAAATGTTTTTCACATTAAAAAAAGATATGACGGAGCAGGCATTTAATTTGAAAAATGACCTAGCATGTCCTTAGAAAGTTTGAATAAGTCGGTTTGTATGTAGTATTTGTTTTTAATTTCAAGCAGGATTCCATGTTCTCATTAATAAGACGATTTCTCTATTTACTTTTGATAAAATTCAGTCTTGAAAAAGAGTATTTGCACAGCAAATACTGGTTTTTTAACTGATCATGTGAGTCAGGAATACTATTCCAGATGCTGAAAATTCTCATGGCTTCCTTCTGCAGGTCTGTCAAAACAGACCCTTTTCGCTGTGAACTAAGATCACATTTATCTTCTCCAGTTTTTTCATATGAGCATTAAGGCGTTCATATTTAAAGTTCCAGAGAAATGGCAGCGCTGAGAGGTTTTTATTTTTTAACAAAGGTTAACTTCGCTATGCTATTTCTGAATTCCTGAAACCTCCGCAGAAAATCTTCCTTTATATTTAAAATTACTATTTTGAAATAGTAAATACTAGTTACAGAATTATTTCCCTGGCGATGTTTCAACAGACTTTAAAAATGAATAAATGTTTCTCTTTCAAAGTCTCGCGCAAAAAGGGTTAGATTCTTTTAGAACGAAATGACTTCTTTCAACAATGAAAAAATTGTGTTTCCTTTCCCTGTAGTTTACTGTCAAGATTATTTAAATGAGACATAAAGTGTGCTATGAAATAAAATTTTTAATACTCAAACCCTTCTCAAGAATAAATTATTTAATTTCTAATAATAAGGTAGCAAAATGTTTTAAAATTGTTCTCTTGAATTGTATCTTATCTGAGTATTCACTCTCAAAGTCATCTAAAAGTTCTTTAAATTAGAGACGACAAAGAGATTTAGCTATAAATGTGTTGACAATCTTGATCACCAGTTCTATAATATAGCAAATTTCTTCTGGAAATATCTGTCACCTACCTCCGATGCCTCCTTGGCCCGTCCTGTTTTTACCGTCATGTGCCCATACGGCTAATTCTATCATTGAGCAGGACATGTCGCGCTGCGATACCGGTATGACTGACTGACTGAAATATCTGTGCACAAAGCGCTTCTTGATAAATGATGCAACGGTAAAGAATGTCTCCAGGTTAATTTTTTCTCACTCCAGTTATATTTTCTCCTCCATATGTTGGAACTGAAATAATTTTATAGGGTGAAATATAATGTTCTTGTGCTCCTTTTAATGATAGTATTTGCAATATTCTCGCCACTTGTTTGACCTTTCATTGGCAGTAATCTTAAAAGTTCTTTAGTCCCTGTCGTTGAAATAAATTGAACAAAAAGCGAACAAGCATTGTGTCATTTATAGCACAAGATTGGTCAATAGCTATTGATTACGCTGAAGCTAATTTAAGATCTTCGATTTGCTGATTGGTTTATATTCGAAGAGATTTAGACTCTGTCTTTTTAATTCCTTGTACGAAGTAAAAAGAAAGTACTGTAATTGTGAAAAATTTCGGGCATCATATTTCAGCGAAAATATCCATTTTGACCGCTATCGAATGCAACGTAACGATGTTTTTGCGTGTCATTTGTACATAAGGACAGAATAAAGGATTCTTTTTCCCCAAAAAATTGTAAAACTCATTTAAAATGAATTATGGAGAGATTTTTTCGTGGCGTCTGTACGTACGGAGACGCTCGTACGCATGTATAACGAGTAGCCTCAGAACTCTCGGATAACTCAAAAACGAGTAGCCTCAGAACGTTGAAATTTTGTATGTAGGACTGCTATAACGTGCAGATGTGCACCTCTCATTTTGGTTGCAATCAGCCGCACCAAAAGTATATATATATATATATATATGTTTCACAAGAAAATAGTAAAGTTAAATTAAAATAATTCTCTTGCGCCATTGCTGAAAGGAATGAAATTTGAATTTAACAAATATTCTCTATTCGTATAAAGCAAATACGAGTATAAAATTCTCTATTCGTATAAAGCAAATCTAAAATGAAAATTAAAAATTTAATTAAGAAATTTTAATTGCAAAGAAATAAAAATAAAAATAATTATTATTGCTGCGAATTAATTTACAATATCATTTCAACTCTAAGAGCATATGTAAATTTTGATTTTACTTTTGGTTTTGAATTTTACTTTTCCCCTTGCCTATATGGATGACGAAACACGAATTGAGTAATTGAAGAGTTAGATTTGGGGGCAACTTCCCCTTGATAAGTCTGTCTCCTGCCTGCTCAACAATGATTCACTTATGCAATTTTTAGGAATGATAAATATAATTTTTTGGAATAATATATTTTTTCATGGTTTTAGATTGTGCAATTAATTTACATATGCTCTTAATTTAAATATATATAATTACAAACCAATTCTTTTGAAAGCAAAAATAATTATTTGAAATTTATTAATTATGAATTTCAATTTCTGGTCTTTGTGAAACATTAGTTCTAAATTTCTTACTTTATATATATATATATCCACTCTGTTAAACGGCTCAGTGAGCTCGGTTTCTTTACTCTTATATATTTTTTAATTCTGCATTTTTTGCTTTAAAAATGATTGAATTATGTTGTTCTTACTTTCCGGTTAAGGTTTTTATGCCTTTAGTTAACCTGCATGCAATAATTGTGGAATTATCAGCAATTTAAAAGTTTTTTAAGTGCGGCTAAGCCTAATTTTGTTTTACATAGCCGCCGTACTTGTTTACATTTGAAACTTAGCAGAATAGTGGATTTCTTGCCAATTTAGAGAAACTAAGCTTCGCAACAACAAAGTAACGTCTTCTTTTATTATTACGAATTCAATTATGCTTAATTGATTCTGAAATTATCATTTAAGTTATTAGCTTGCTTTTGCGTAGAAGCTGTAATTTTAATTGTAAAAATTGTTTTTAATTGTTTTAACTGTACTTGGTGCTTTATGTTTTGTATATCTTTCAATTTTTAATGAAAGTATTTTGAATTTTTATGTATTTTTGCCTTGCCGTGAACTGAGGACTGAATTAATTAGTAGCGCGTGCGCATTAGGTAAGCGGCGCTGAATCGTCTGTGAAAAACTGTTTCTTTTTTATTTGTTTATTTTCTTTTATACAACGTTTTAGATTTATTATAGTATATGAATAGAACCTGGGGTAATTCTTCAGATGATATAATTTTTGTGCACTCTGAATTATAATATGAATAAGATGTAACGCTATTAAGTGAACTTGGCTCCGAAGTGTCGCTATTGTAAATAAATATAGTGAACTTTAAAGAGAGCATATATTCTATTGTGGTTTATGCGCTATCGACAAAGTAGATTTAATTCAAAATTCGTTAACTGTTAATTCAATATGTTTAAATGAAGAGCAAGAAAATTGCGTATAATTTAATATTCCGTACAAGGAAGTCATCTGGTGTACACATCAGATTTTTCTGTTTTATTAAACAGTGTAACTATTTAATGGTTTTAAAAATTCTTGAAATCCTGGAAGAGCTCTTCGAATGCATTCATAAAATAACTTTTCATGTATTCACTGTCTCTGTATGTTTGCTTGTCTTAGCAGTTTCTTGACTAGCAATAAAGCTTGCTTGCAATATTAACAATAAAGCTTTCAATATTAATAAAGCTTTCAATATATTGAATGATTTGTTGAAAAGTTTGCCCCAATAATTAAATACAGAACTTGATTTTTCTTGATTTTTTTCAAGTTTCTCAACTGCTTTCTTCCGCTCATCACCGGCGAGATATTTCTTGCGAAATGACGCGTAATTGCAAAGTGTCTCCCCGAATTTCATTTCTTGTTATGCACCAATTTTTCTTGACAAATAAAACAGGTCGGAATGCCATTTGAATTTGTATAAACGCGAACGATTCGGTCCATTTAGCTTTATATTTAGAGTTTTTGTTTTCCGTTTTTCTTAACTTCTTTGCAATCACATCAAATAGGTGGCACATAAAAACATATTTCATTTTACAACAATAAAAGCAGCAAAAGAGAGTTATAACAACTTATTAAACTGATGCTAAAAATACCTGTGAGATCTACAGCTTGGAATATGCAAGTAGCTTAAAAAATGTGCCAAATAGATACTCTCGCCGCTCGCTTGAGGCTTTTCGGTATTTATCTTTGTATACACTGGCGAGAAGCTACGATTGGCTTGCTTTCGCTCGATGCATTAGTGCATGTGCTAGTGCATTAAGCGTGTGCTTCCTTCTCGCCGCATACTCAACACCGTCTCGGAACTATCTAGAAGATGTTGGAACTACCTAACTATCTAGAAAGTGCTGGCGTAGTCCGCGTCTGACTGCTTTACGTCAACCCGACTGACACATGGACCTTACAAGACCTTTTATTATTCTTATAAGATCTCTTATTATATACCTCTTAGAAGGTCCATGGACTGATACCACTGTCACATTCTCATATAGTCGAAATCGATTAGTGGCAGAGCCGCTTTTTAACTTGTGTCCTTCTTTCCAAAAACTAAAATGGATTATTATATAAGAGGATTTACAAAATCGAAGGAAAGATCTTATGAATGTGTTGTAACGTCAAGCTCATCCAAAATTGACATTAAATCGAATTGTTTGACAACAATTTTTAATTGTCAAAAATGGTCAATGAGAATAAGTGTCATTCTCGTAATTGTTTCTTTATCTAAAATGGTTAGGTTAAATGGTTTTCGCAGTCAAAAAGCCAGCATTTTTTTTTTTTTTTTTTTTTTGGCAGATATCTTTAGTGAAGACATTTTTTTTTCTCTCGTCTATCTTAACATTATTCATGGATTGGAATTATTTGATTTATAGCAAAGCAAGCTTTCTATCTAGGGAGAGAGGGCTCCTTTGTAGAGGACCTCTTTCAGAAAATTGACTCATCTTTACGTTGTGCTTCGAACATGCAGGATTTGAGCCCGGATTGAAAGACCTGTTCTAGCGATTTTACCGCTCGGAAGCTGACTGGCCTATATTTATGGATTGGTGTTTGGTTTATTTGATAATGGCAAAACATGCAAGGGCTATCTGCCTAAGGGGAGGAATAACTTGATAGAAAACTTTCCAAGGAAAACTGGCTTGTATCCAAGTTATGCATGGGTAAAGGCCGAAAATGCCCATGCAACCAGCCTGTTCGCTTGGAATCGAACCCAAGTCGAACTACCAATGTTCATCGACTTCACCGCTCGACCGCTGGCGCCCCATACTATTTTCAGAAAAAAGAATGAAAACGTCATTCGCTCAACTACTTGTCCTCAGAATTCGAGATAAAATTAACAGCATTTAAATGTCTTATCTAAGAGCTAATGGTGATCCTATTTTAAGCCGAAATCTAGTGATAGCTCCCTTAAAATATAAGCTATTTTAGAATTTATAAAAAATTATAATTTACTAAATCACAAAGTTCTAATATCAATTCTTTCTTTTCAGAACAAGCAAATTATCAGAAATTTTCTCTTTTTAATGAAAAATCGAGTGTGAAGAGACGCAGAAAAAGGAGTTTGGGCTCTGATGAAGGTTTTGATTATGATTTCGACAAAGAGGACAGCTCTATAGACCCCAAAGATAATGTGAAGATTTTTCAAAGACTTTTTTATGATTATATTAATCAACACTCACCTTCGTATCTAAAACTAGAGCACACAGCAAATTCCCGAATGCAGAGTCCCTATACGCCACCAGATCAATTCCGAATCGACAAGGAAATTTTCTATGGCAGAGAAACTAGAACAGAACCTCCTTCAGTTAAAAAAGGATATAATGATGTTCCTCCATTTCCTAAAATACATTACGATCCTAAAGTTCTTTCGAATCATCAAAATCTATTTCGTGTAAGAGAATCGTCTCTATCTAACGAATTTTCTCAAAGGCATTCATTGTCATTCCCAAACGATGAAAATTTGGCACTCGAGCTGGAAGAAGAAGCGAAATTTAAAAAGTATACTTTCGATGATAGTGAATCTAAACTCATTGCAGATTGTAACAACAAACTGGACTGCAATGGCAATGCTATTTGTCGTATTGAAAATGATGGAAAAAATTTCTGCAAATGCCGATCTGGTCATTACGGAAATGGGATATTTTGTTGGTCTCTCAAAAATCTTCTTTTTTAAGTTTACACGTGTTTCTTATTTATCAGTTCAATGAAAGTGAAATTTCTGGATGATTTAAATAAAATGCACCTTTATTTCTTGAAAAATTCCACACTGTTTCCGAAATTTTTGTCAATTACGTAATATGCACGCATTTTCATGCTCTTCCTTGCATAAATAAATAATTTTGCCAAGCATATTACATGGTTCATAGCTTTACCTTTTTACAGGGATCTGCATCTTAGTATACGTATACGATGCTCTTTTAGCTATAACTCTTTTTAGCTATAGCTTTTTTAGCTATAGCTCTTTTAGCTAGAACTGGCTAATTTCAAAACCTCTGTATCTGCCCTGAGTGAATTCTTTGCCTGCTCAGCTAGAAGAAAGTTAAAATATACGTTCAGTATTTAAGAAAGAGCATTCTTTATATATATTATACAATAACAATAACAAAATACGAGATATAACAAAATACGATAGCTGCTTTAAAAATAATTGGCGGCCTCAAAATTAGCATTATATATTTGGTGCTCCCCCCCCTAAATTCCTCTCCCAAATTCGAAAATCTTCTATGTTATGTAACAGCCTTAAATTAACCAATCGAAGATTAGCTCTACTTATACCTCAGACTTAGTATAAATACCGCTCGCAAATAAACTGCGTCATCTTCTTCTCCTAGGTTCACCACGCCAACCTTCACGCTATTTTTCTTGTCCGTCTAAAATGCTATCGCCCCTTTAATCTGTGTATATAAGAAATTATTGTAATTGTTTATGATAAAAAAATATATTGTCTATGAAGAATTATTCTAATGTGCCTGAAAATAAATATTGTAATTATCTGAACTTAGTTTGGTATCAACATTTTCGTCCCGTCTTACCCCTCTGCTATCACGACTATGCCTCAAAAATATTACACACACACACACACACACACACACACATATATATATATATATATATACACGGTGTTTCAAAAATTCGGTCACAAACATTCCGGAAACATAGAGTACACCTACACGATGGAAAATCACATAGCAATGCATGATCGGAAACGCTTTCCTGTCGCGGTAGTGACGACACAGAATACAAAAAAGGATGAACACGAACAAGGGTGATAAAACATATTTATTATGCTCATTACAGCTAAAATGTTGGGAATGTTAAATTTTAGCGTACATTAACAGCCTTGATGTGCGTCTCCACCTGAATACAACGTATCCTTAACATTGGATTGGCAGAGGTGGTCCAGTGCATTGGCAGCAAGATCGCTACACCTCATTTGCATTGACTACTTTCTCTGGGCTATGTCAAGAAACTGATGTATGAAACCCCCGTTAAACAGTGCTCAGGAACTTGTTGCACGCATCGTGGCGGCTGCTGGGAAAGTCCCAGACACGACAAGTATTTTCCAGATCATCAGATCTTCCATGCGCCGGAGATGTGAGGCCTGCATCACGGTCCGGGGTCGTAATTTCTATGTCGTAAAATTTAATTCTTTTTTTGATGACAATTGTTGTCGGCTTTTGTTTTCATTTCTTGGTTTCTGCTGCACTGAGTATAATAAACGTGCTTTCTCACCCTGTTCGTGTCCATCCTTTCTCGTGTTTCTATCAATACAAAATGACTCTTGAACAACTACAAATCAGATTTTTTAAACTCTATTTTCAGCAGTAGCTATGTAGCAGCTTCAAAACGAGCTAAGTTTACCTGAATAACTCTTATTGAATTCCAAGTGGAATTTTTATCCATAATTAAGTCTTTTTTTTTTTTTTTTTTTTTAGTCCAAAGGGATTTCAGTCCCTGAAGGACTATTGTTTTCGTTTTGCGATTTTGCGTCGGACTCATAAACGTCGGTTCACTTTTCAAACTGTTGCCACAAAATGTTAGAGTCCTGCATTATATTTGAAGAAATTAAATAATGAAAAATCTGCATAAATGATTGTCTATTTCTCGCATTGTGATAAAACAATGGTACATAGAGCCATCGAATTTTGAATGACGAAATCCTACTGCGAATATGGGCATCTGAAATCCCAAATTTGGAATTTGTTTTATTATAGATTTTATATTTTGTAAAACTTTAACGAATTTTTTGATTTACAAACTCAATGCTTTAAAAAGCGAGAAATGGCAACGTTACTATAGAAAAAAAAAATAAAGAACTTTTTATCTCCAGCTCGCGCGAGACTGTGTATATCGGAAATTCTAAAGATATGCTTAATTTAACATTATTTTTGCGATATTGCTCTTGAACTGAATTTTATGGTTTAAGTGCAAAGAACATGATATTTAATAAATAAAGGTAACACTCAAAACGTTAATAAAACGCCCCTTTGGACGTAATTTAAAATCTGAAAAATTTCAGATTTTTTTTTTTTTTTTTTTTTTTTTTTTAGTTTATCGATTTTTATCTGTCTTGAATGACAAATTTTCGTAAAGCTCGAATGATTGGAATAACATTTTTTTAACATTGTTGGCATTTCTTTCAAAACACTTTATACATTTTTTATCTTAATTTTTGCAATTCTTAAAATTAATTCGAGTTTCTCTACATCAGCAACAGTCCTATTTCGTCTAACAGTTTTTTGAAATGCGTCCAAATTGGAGCATTTAAAGCATGGAATAGGTCTTATATATTCCTTATATATTCCTGTGTAATTCGGACTACGTCCTTAAACTATGTAACTTGATTATCTCAGATTCCGAAATTGCAAGATCTTTATTTGTTTCAAGTAGGCCTCCTTTTCAGACCCGTATAAAATGTTCGATTCCAATTTTCAACTTTGGTGAATCAATGCTTTTCAACAGTTTCTGTTTAATATTTCTTTGTTTGTCCCCTTCTAATGTGGAGTACACAGTAAAAATATGCTGTTTTTCAGCCCTTTTTCCCTATCTGAATACGGTTCCGTGTGAGACGTTTTACTATATAAGTCTCTTTATCTTTTCATTCTGACACTTGTATTTATCCTTAAGTCTTGTCATCTCAATACATCGTTCTGTTAAAAAACTAATTGAAATTAATGCCGAGTGTCTGAAGCAATTTCTTTATTTACACTTGAAGATTTATTTATAGTATAGTTTCTAAGTTTACTAGGTAGGCCTGAGTCTTCTTTAACACATTCATTGAGTCCATTTTGGTTGCATTCGTGCCAGATTTGCTATTTTGGTCACAGGATTTTGGTCGGCCTGGTACCATGGGTTAACACGGGTCGGCAGTATTAGGCTGATTTAGTTCAAGCTTTCGACCCTCAGGCGAGGGTGCCTCCCAACCACGCCATGACTCCCAAGCTCAAAAATGGGAATGAATGCTGGAATTTCAGACTTCAAATAAATTCTAATAATCATAAACTAATCACATTTTATAATCATATTCCATGCACCATTATATCACATTCCCGGGGAAGCCCATTCTACGGAAGATAAATGCTGTTTAGGCAAAGTAATAAAAGTACTTTCTTATCTAGGGAAACTGGAGAAAATGAAATATGAACTTTCCTGTTGCAACAAGGAAAGAAAGAATTTCATTTTAAATTTCGCTTCATTGCATTTTTCATAAAATAAATAAATAAATAAAATAAAGCTTGAAAATAAAATCCTGATGAAGCTTTCATTAAAATACATAAATCAAATATGAAAATATCAAATAAAATATAGGACTTTCTTATTTAAAAAATAAGACATCTTGTTACAACAAGGCTTGAATGGCATTTGCAGTTGTATTTCATTACTTTTTTCACACAAAAGAACTTAATGTTTTTTTACTTGACCTCAAACACACACTTGACAAATTCTTATCCCCTTTTCGTGGATTGAGCAATAGTGACTGGAGAAGTATTTCGTGCTTAGGAAGGTCTTAATTTCTGAGTAAAATCCTTGTGCATAAAGCAGTTTTTGATCTCGCATACGGCTTATTTAAAATTCCTTTAGAAGTTCCAACTTAATAAAAACCTTATCCTGTCTCGCTTATCACAATTACCATTATATTACGCGAATCATCTCGTCTCTTGTCGATGTCAGGAATAGCACAGTAGCTCACAAAGAAGTTGGAGGAAATTTCTTGTCTGAATTCTTTTTCATTTCTTAGCCTCAATATACAGACTGAATTTATAACCAATTTTACCTTTAATAACAGTTTTAGTTTTGAAGCAAAGGGTGCACGAAATACTCGTTTCGTTATTTCCATCATCTTTACTGGCTTGGCTGCAAAATTTATGAATTTTTCAATAGCACATTCGACAGTCATGTTCATAGCTGATTTCCTGTAAACACACACAGCAGGTATCCGAAATGGAAACCTTTTCGGTAAATATGTCTTCATAACAATATTGGTTTCTTCCACCATCGACTACCAATCTCACCCTGTTTTTGTCCTAGCGTCGTTTGCTTGCGTAGGGTGATCGCTTCGCATTTTTACATTGTTTGAATGCGTTCAATTATTTTTACCAGCTGCTCCTCAATCTGTACATCTTGTAAAACATCTTGGAGTAAAGAAGATGTTGTGAGAGCCAATTCAGCTTCATATAGCAGCCTTATTCTTCTTAGCCATAATAAGCCTTATTCTTCATTAAGTTGAATTTAGCAGTCTGTCACTCCATTGCTCAATTTTTCATCTTATTTACAAGTCCTTACATATCTTACTCAAAATGTCTTTAATATCTTGATTAGCTCCTTCAGCACTGCCCTGGCTTTTTGAGTGGCGAGGTTTGCCATGGACGAGATCTCCAGTGATGATCAATACTCCTTCAAGCTGTTCAACACATTATTCGCAAATTTCTACCTTTTCAGGCTGGTAGATGGTGCTCCAAGCAAGGAGAACACGTCCACTACGCTGAGGCTGCTGCTGTCGCTCTCTTTGAAATCACAGCTTTAACCACGAACTTAGTGAGATGATCTTGGTGGAAATCTGCATTCTCGCTATCAGATTGGGGCTGGAATGTAATCAACCTGAAACCATAATTTAAATTTAGAAAAAGCTATAGGATTCACAACAACACTTTTTTTTAAACATACTTCTTTCTTTTTTTGGAGGGGGGGGGATCATCGCTCACAAAGGTGAACCAACAGTTCAGTATTGTGACTGTATTGAGGTGAAAGTCCTTTCAACATTCTGTCACGTCCTTTGTGGCCGATAACCAAATAAACGTCTTGCAGTACATAAAATAACGCAAAGTCTGTGATATACAGCTGGATAGCACTAATGCCTTCTTCAGTGGGAACAGTTTATTTTTGCTTTCCATTAACATAACATCATACCGATTCAGGAGTCAATAGTAGTTCATTCTTAGTAGTCATCTTGGCCTTTCTCACATCGCTTACTAACTACTGATAAGTAGTTTCAGTTAGAAAAGCACTGTTTGTGCAGCATTGGGTTAGCATTTTAAAACGTTCGTCATAGAATCGTCGTTGCACGTCATCGTACCATGATTCCATCTCGAACACTACACCTTGTTTTTATATTTTCATACAGCACAGTATGTGTTAGAACAGGCATGGCGAAAACGCCACTCTCTAGCTCCTTAAGTGCAACTCTCGAGCATGCGGCCCTTTCAGCTCTTAAGCGTTTCGTTTACACAAATAATTGTAACGAAACTATTCGTTTCGTTGCAATAAATAGTAGTTTCTATTTTGAAAGTATAATTGCATAAAAATCCTGCAACGAAAAGCTTTTTTAACAATCAGTAATATAATTTCTTAGATTAAATTGTGTATGTAATAATTTAATGTATTTCACGCTGTCCATTGGGGCTATTCACCAAAGAAAAAAACAAAATAGCAAATACTCGTAATTTCATTTCTGAGAATTACTAATAAGGCCTTGTTATCTT